TTACCATCCTTTTACTACTAATGATGTGCTTTAAATTAGTACTTTGTAGCTAATGACTGAATGACAGAAACCTGGATTCAAAGAATTAGAGAATCTAACAAGACAACATTTAACCCAGAAAAATGGAAGCTTCTGCACTTGGGTTAAAACTAAAATGACTTACGGAAGTGCATTAATAGGAATGTATGACACAGACCTGGAGGGGTTTCAGTTGACTGAAACTTAAACTGGATTCAACTGTGATATGTCATCCACAACATCTGCTATGATGCTAAGATGCATCTATAGATGGATAATCACTATTCTAGAATGAAGGATGGGATAAGATCACTTCATTCTACCCTAATCAGAATATTCAGTATTTTCAGAGACATTTACAAATTCAGGAGCATGTAGAATGGTGAATGACTTTAAAAAATATATCATGTCAGAAAGAGGTGAAATAACTGGGGAGGTTTTTTTGTAAGAACATAATTGTTTAAGGATTAAATGAGAGAGCATGTTAAAGGTAGTTAGTGTAATGCCCAACATAAGTGCTCAATTAATATTAATAAGAAAAGAGTGGGACTTCCGCCAAGATGGAGGCATAGGTGAATGTGCCGTGCCTTCTCACACAACCAAGTTTAGAGACAACTAAATATTAGCAACAGGAAACAGAGCCAGAACACGGAAAATTGAACTTTTCGGAAGTCCGTTAACAACAAATTCTTCAGCCTGACCAGTAAGGGGCGAAACCAGCAGCTGGTGAAGCGGGATTGCACAGGAGGACTCGGTCAGAGGGACTCAGGCGCACGGAATCCAGGCGCAGGGTTGGACCTAGTGAGCGACCGAGCGAGCCACCAGGTGACGCGAGCCACCAGGCGAGCGACCGCGGGGGAGACAGCGGGGGAGCGGTGCTGCGTGTTGACTGTGGTCGCGCATTTGTGCGCGGGCGGACAGGCCAGGGAGCGAGCGGTTGGACCAGGGCCCAGCGGGTCCCCGCGGCAAGCGGCAGTGGAGGGCGCCGCCATTTCCCAGCTTTGACCCCACCTCCACATACAGCGTCATAACCCAGCGACTCTGAGTGGCCCGGCCAAGGTGAACCACCTAAGACGCTAATCCTCACCCAGCTGTGAGAAACAGCAGAGGAGGTCGCCATTTCCTGGCTCTGACCACGCTCCCACATACAGCGTCACAACTCAGCCACCTGGGAGTCCAAGCCACTGCTTCTCACACATAAAGGGCGTGAACAGACCAAAAATGGCGCAGGAAGATCTCAAAGTCCCAGAGCCTGTAGATCTAAGCGATGAAGAAATAGCGAAACTCTCAGATGCACAGTTTAAAACACTGGTCATCAGGATCCTCACAGAACTGGTTGATTATACCGACAAATTAGACAAATATATGAAGGCGAAACTAATTGAAATGAATGGAATTGCACAGGACACCAATAGCAATGAAAAGAAAATTGGGACTCAAATCAGTGGAGTGGACCAGAAAAAAGCAAATAATGGCCAAACAGAAAAGAGTCAAGAAGCAAGAATTCAAAGAAATGAGGAGAGGCTTAGGAACCTCCAGGACATCTTTAAATGCTCCAACATCCGAATTATAGGGGGTGCCAGAAGGGGAAAGGCACAGCCACCAGTGGAAAACTTTTTTGAACAAATAATAAAGGAGAATTTCCCCAATCTGGCAAAGGAAATAGACTTCAAGAAATCCAGGAAGCTCAGAGAGTCCCAAAGAAGTTGGACCCAAGAAGGAACACACCAAGGCACATCATCATTACATTAGCCAAAATTAAAATGAAGGAGAGAATCCTAGAAGCAGCAAGAGCTAAGGGGACAGTCACCTACAAAGGAGTCCCCATCAGACTGTCAGCAGATTTCTCAAAAGAGACCTTACAGGCAAGAAGGGGCTGGAAAGAGGTATTCCAAGTCATGAAATCCAAAGACCTACAACCAAGATTGCTCTATCCAGCAAAACTTTCATTTAGAATGGAAGGACAGATAAGGTGCTTCTCAGATAAGATCAAATTCAAGGAGTTCATCATCACCAAGCCCTTATTATATGAAATGTTAAAGGGACTTATCGAAGAAAAAGAAGTTAAAGAAACATGAACAGTGAAAGGACAGCAAACTCACAGTTATTAACAACCACACCTAAAACAAAAGCAAACTAAAAGGACAGCTAGATCAGGAGTGGAAACATAGAAATGAAGATCAGATGGAGGGTTAGCAACAGGGGAGTGGGAGGAGGAGAAGGGGAGAGAAGGTACAGAAAATAAGTAGCATAGACAGTAGATAGAAAATAGATGGGGGGGGCAAGAATAGCATGAGAAATATAGAATCTAAAGGAATTGAGACACATGGTCATAAACTAAAGGGGGGGTAATGGTGGGGATGGGAGGGTAGGGTGGAGGGGAATGAAGGGGGGAATAGAACAACTGTAACAGCATAATCAATAAAAAAATTAAAAAAAAAGATTTACAATAAAGCCATAGTATCAAAAAAAAAGTGTTTTTTATATGCTAGGTACTGTTCCAGGCCCTTTACATATACTGGCCCATTTATTCCTCTTACCAATCCTATGAGGTAGGTATTATTATGGCTCCAACTTTGTAAGTGAGGAAGCTGAGTCACAGAAATGTCAAGTAGATTGTCTCACAGATAGAAAGGGAAAACAACCAGAACATTAACTCTGGTGGTGTCAGACTATTGGGAGTAAAAGGCACTTTTGTATTTTATACTTGTTTTGTACCACTCCAGTCCAGAAGGCAGAACCAGGATCAATGTGTGTAAATTACTGGGAGGAAGATTTCAGCTCAGTGACAACAAAAAACCATGTCTGAACTTTCAATAGGGTATCTTTTAAAGTAGTGAGTTCTCCATTACAAAGCGTAAGAAAAAAAGGATAGAAATGAAAAAAATCCATGAAATGGGGCTCCTTTTAGAAAGAAACCATACAAATGATAAAGACAAGCCTTGGTTAATAAAATAAAGTAGGTATAGTGAAACTTGGTTTTGAAACCTAACAGTTATGGCTCTGACTGGTATGGTTCAGTGGGATGGACGCTGTCCTAGAAACTGAAAGTTTACTGGTTCAATTCCCAGTCAGGGTACATGCCTAGGTTGATGGCCAGGTCCCCCTGTTCGGGGTGCATGAGAGCAACTGATGGATGTTTTTCTGGCACATCGATGTTTCTTTCCCTCTCTTTCTCCTTCCTTCCATTCTCTCTGAAAATAAATAAATAAAATCTTTTTTTTAACTTTTATTTATTTTATTTTTAGAGACAGGGTAAGGGAAAAAGAAAGAGTGGGAGAGAAACATTAATGTGTGGTTGCCTCTCATATGTCCCCTACTGGGGACCTGGCCTGCAACCCAGGCATGTGTCCTGACTAGGAATTGAGCCAGTGACCCTTTGCTTCACAGGCCCATGCTCAATCCACTGAGCTATACCAGCCAGGGCTTTAAATAAAATATTTTTTAAAAAGAAAAGTAACAGTAATGGATAAGATATAAAGTTTAATATCTTTCTGCTATCTCAGCACAGAGTAAATTAGATGCTGAATAAAAAGTGACAAAGTGGAAAATTTCACATATGAATTTGTTTGGAAACTTACTAGATGGTCAGCCCAGGTTTAAGAAAAGCAATCCCAAGATCCTTACAGATCTGATTGCCACCTACCCTGAAAGTGTAAAATACAGAGAGGAGAGGTATAATCTGCTCTCTGGAAGAAAGGAATCTGCATGAGAAAGTAGCATCCAGGCTGATGTGAGTAGATGAGATTCAGGAATGAAAGCGAAGATCATAAAACACCATTAGATCCAAAAATTCTTCTACTGACAATTGAGTGTGTTAGCATGATTTTAATTCCACTACCCCATGTGTGGTCAACAGAATTACTCCATAGTTGACTATGAATAGCTTATGTGCTGAATCTATCTTTTTGTGTCAAGCAGTGTCAAGGCCCAAGTACTGGCTGACTTAATGGATATAAACTTTCTCAAGTAGCAACACCGAGATGACTGATTAAAGATCTGAGTCATAGCAAAATCTCTTGCTTCTAGTATGAAAAATGACTGAATAGAATATATATACAGTTTATATGTAGTATATGTGTATATGTGTGTGCATTATCTATGTACTACTATATAGTACATATACACACACATACACATAGTAATGCTATAATCTCCACCAAAAATGCTCCCATTTCAGATAGTAAATAAGTTTCCAGACTATCTGTCCTTGCACAAAGGTGAAGTTTGAAATTTATGAAATTCGAAGTACTCTGTTTTTTTGGAGTTACATACTTTACAAAATTCTTTCTAGAGTTCTAGAACTGAATGACTACCAATTTCAACTGGAGCTTCTATTTGCAATATAGGTCTGGTGGCTCACAAAAAAATAAAATTCTTCCCTGGCTGGTGTAGCTCAGTGGATTGAGCGCAGTCCTTCGACCCAAAGGATCGCAGTTCGATTCCCAGTCAGGACACATGCCTGGGTTGCAGGCCAGTTCCCAGCAGGGGACGCACAAAAGGCAACCATACATTGATATTTCTCTCCCTCTCTCCTTCCCCTCTAAAGATAAATAAATTTAAATAATAATAATAATAACAAAATTCTCTCCCATGAAAGTGATGAGATGCAAGCAATGTTTACAGAGCCTTACATGCACACAATGGAGTTATGAATGTGGATTTAAACTGGGAGAGGAAGCACATGATATTGAATTATTAAGGAGAAAGAGTTAAATTTCAATGCAGGAACTGGACTGTAGGGGAAATAATGGGCCTTGGCATCTGATGATGGAAGAATGATAGAAGAGGAGTTATCAGGGGAAGCTGCTGAGAGAAATAGGTAATAACCCCTAAAACTGGATGCTAAATGTCTCTGGTAATCAGGAAAAGGCAAATATAAACAAAGAGAGGTGGGTGACGATATCTGCTGCATTGTGGGTCAGGAAATACTGGAGGATTGCTACAGCACGGCTGAGGGTCAAAGCGGTAACTGGGGATCTGAGCTCGGCAGTGACGCGCGTCACTCACGTGACCGGGAGCCTATGTCTGCCCAAGTCCCTCTCGTCCTGGTCCTTTTTGCCAGTCAAGACACCGTCTGCCCTTTGGTCGAGGGGAAAAGCAGAAAGAAGTAAGTCCCCTCGGTCCTCTGAAATCGGTGATGGTTCCCAGTAACTCCTGGGATCGGGATGGCAGACAGTCCAGGCCTTTCCCTATGCCAGCCCCGCGACCGCACTTCGGTATAGAAAATGGTAGTTTCGGGGCTGGGGTGGGAAGGTGAGTGGGCCAACCCTAGGAAGGAGCAATAGACACTTAGGATTAGTTTCTAAGTAATCTTTTCGCTTCCACGTCCTGCTTCACAGCACGGCGGCGAGGGCGGGGGTGGGGGACACGAAGGACAAAGCTTGAGATGGGGAAGGACAAGAGGGCGGTGGGAGGCCTGAAGAGGGAACCAGAGTCAGCTCAGAGGCAGTGGCTGGTGGCCAGAAAAAAGGCTTTGAGTGTCATTCAGTCCTTTCTCCCTCCCCACTTTCCGCCCCCTACCCTGTCTGGAGTTTGTCTGCAGGCCTGCAGGTTACAGCGGGGCACCTCGAGGAGGGAGCGCCTGCGAGCAAACGACTGGGAGAGGTCCGGGTCCGGGAAAGGGTGGGCTGGGGACCGGGACGGCGTGCGCAGAAGGACACCGTAGGGAGCCCAATCGGAGGCGCCACCGCTCCGCCCCTGCCGGCGAGGCCCCCGGGCAAGGCCTGCTGGGAAAATGGTGGGCTTTAAGGAGGGAGGGTGCGACCGGGGCGGGGTCCCCAGGGACGGGGCCTCTGGGCCAGTGTCGGTGGGAGGATCTGGACCTGGAATCAGAGAAAAAGCAGATTTTAGGACCCGAGGCCGGGGTTTTGGTCCAGGCATCAAATATGCTGACTCAGTTCTGTTTTTCTAGTCTCTTCTGAATAATTGTGCTTAGGAAGACGAGTCACAACATGGACAAATCCTGCCAAGCAAATGAAGAACAGCCACAGAGTGTGCTCAAGTCGGAGGAGGAGCAGCCTCAGGCACAGCACTCGCCCGAAGAGCTGTGCCCAGAGGACCCGTCTTCGGAAGAGCAGTCCTCCGAGGAGGAGTTCTTTCCCGAGGAGCTCCTTCCCGAGCTCCTTCCCGAGATGCTGGTGTCGGAGGAGCACCCTCCTGAGGAGCGCCTTTCAAGTCAGGACTTGTTCCAGGCACACCCTCCCATGGAGCAGCCTCCTTGCGGAGTGGGAAAACACAAGCTGGAAGAAGGAAGCTTTAAGGAAAGGCTGGCTCGCTCTCGCCCGCAATTTAAAGGGGACATACATGGCAGAAATTTGAGCAATGAGGAGATGATAAAAGTAGCAGAGGAGATGGAAGAGATGAAAAGAGTCCGAAACAAGTTGATGATCATGCACTGGAAGGCAAGACGGAACCGTCCTTATCCTATTTGATGTGTCTGGCCTTCAATGCTGGTTTGCTTGATTTCAGTATTGCCACCTGACCTTTGCATTTTCTCAAATCCCTCTCGCCATCTTTTAAATTTTAACTTTTTGGGTGGTTTTACTTAAGGTGTTTTTCTTGTAAGTGATGTGAAATTGGACTTCCTCCCCCACTCTCCCAATATGCAAGTCTCCCTCTTTCAATCACAGTGTCTCACTCATTTGCATGGAAAGATAGACGTTATATATTGCGAAGTGAAAAAAGCAATTTTTGAAAAGTATATGTAGTATCCCATTTTGTTAAAAAATGTATATTTATATATTAATATGCAAAAAACCCTGAAGGTATGTACTGCAAATGCTTAAAGCAGTGGCTATCTGTGTGGTAAAGTAATAGGTGATTCTGGTTTTTCACTTTTGCTTGTTGGAACTTCTCATTTTTTTCAGGAGGAACACATTTTATTTGTGTTGCAAAAAGCACCCCCCACTATAATGGGGAAAATGTAAAGAAATTTAAACACTGTCTATGAGCTTATAAAGACAATGTAGCACTTAATAAATACTTGTCAGAACTTTAAAAAAGTAAATCCCATGTTTCTTCAGAATCTCTTAGGCAGAAATATGTATTTGTTTAAGGATTAATCATTTCCCATTTAAGTAGGAATAATACTTGACTTACAAGGCTGCTGTGGAACCAAATGAGGTAAAGATGCAATGAGCTGTTTTGCCCCCACCTGCAACATGCAGGACCCCAAACCCTAGAGAGTCCCTTCAAGTTCAGTGGCTGAGAACCAAAGGAGTGCTCACTTGCAATCAGAAACAATTCCTTTGAGACTCCAGTGAGAGCCACATTCTATTCCTATCCTACTCTTCTGTTCCCTTGGATACTGCCATGTCTGCTGGGTACAGCTACCCCTTCTCCTGGTCCTGCTCCTTCCATGGTGCCCATCAGAGGGCACTCTAGGTGCAAAGCCTCACTTGCTCTGGAGTCCATGCTGGGCCAAAGCTGAAATGTATTTCCTACAAATATTCAGTGAATGCCCTTTATATTAATAAGTATAATAATTATTATATTCATCCAGGTGGATACCATCCCAGGGCTACTTAAACCTCAATGTATTAAATAATTCTTTTTTTTAAGGTTTTGTTTATTTATCTTTAGAGGAGAAGGGAAGGAGAGAGGGAGAGAAATATCAATGTATGGTTGCCTCTTGTGCATCCCCTTCTGGGAACTGGCCCACAACCCAGGCATGTGTCTCAATTGGGAATCGGACCTCGATCCTTTGGTTCGCAGGCTCTCACTCAATCCACTGAGCTACACCAGCCAGGGCTGTATTAAATAATTCTTAATAAAATAATCCTTCCTTTTTTTTTTCTGAAAGCCCCCCTTTTCTCCTCTGGACTCAAACATGAGTTCATTGGGACCTGGGCTAGAAGACAAATTTGTGAGCCAGACACAATGCTGTATACTTGGAAATGGAATCTTCCCAAATAATCTATAAGGATTTTGGTTTTCAGTGCCTAAGCATTTGCTTTAGGGTGAGTTCTCTTCTGTCAGGCTTGCCTTATCAATTCAGCTGAGTTACTCAATTTGTCTGTACTAAAGAGGAAGATAACACTCAAGCTAAGACTTTTCCCTTCTCACACACTACCCACATCAACAAAAACACTTTGAAAGTCATTAAAGTAGTATATATACACATATATATATATATGTGCATATGTATGATTTCTCTGTTAAACTATCTTTATAAAACCTATGGTTTTGTTCTATTGATCCCATTAATTCTATTTTATTTATTTATTTTTAAATATTTTATTATTTTTTATTTTTACAGAGAGGAGAAGGGAGGGAGAAAGACAGGGAGAGAAACATGTCTGTTGCCTCTCGCACGTGCCCAGTCTGAGGACCAGGCCCACAAGCAATACATGTGCCCTGACCAGGAATGGAACCAGCAGCCCTTCACTTTGTGGAACTATACACAACCAACTGAGCCAAGTTGGTCAGGGCAATCTAGTTAATTCTAGAAACACAGGTGGTGGTTAATAATTTTTTAAAAGTGTGACTTGGTCATCAACCATAATTCTGTTTACTTGACTATGTAAGCTTCACTGAGTGTGTTAACTTCTTTAGAAGGTATGATTTGCAATTTCAAAGGGATTACAGTGGGAGGAGGAATTAAGTCCTCATGTTTAAATTAAAATTGGTTACATATTTTTATTTTAAATTGTATTTTATTGATTATGCTGTTATGGTTGTCTCAATTTTTCCCCTTATGCCCCCCTCCACCCAGCAACCCCTCATTCCTTCAGAAAATCCCCACCCCTTTGTTTATGTCTGTGAGCCATTCATATAAGTTCATTGGCTACTCCATTTCCTGTACTGTACTTTACATCTCTGTGGCTATTCTTTAACTACCAATTTGTACTTCTTAATGCCCTCACCTCTTAACCCATTCTCCTAAACCGCTTTCCCATCTGGCAATCATCAAAACGCTCTCCGTATCCATGATTCTCTCTCTGTTCCTCTTGTTTGCTTAGTTTGTTTTTTAAATTCAACTGTTGACATGTACGTTTTTATTGCCATTTCATTGTTCATAGTTTTGATGTTTTTTTCTTAAACAAATCCCTTTAACATTTCATATAATAATGGTTGAGCCCTGGCTGGTGTAGCTCAGTGGATTGAGCGCGGGCCTCTGAACCAGACAATCGCAGTTCGATTCCCAGTCAGGGCACATGCCTGGGTTGGAGGCCGGTTCCCTGCAGGCCAGTTCCCAGCAGGGGACGCATGAAAGGCAACCATACATTGATGTTTCTCTCCCTCTCTCCTTCCCTTCCCCTCTAAAGATAAATAAATAAAATCTTTAAAAAAATAATAATGGTTTGGTGATGATGAACTCTTTTAGTTTTATCTTTTCTGTGAAGTGCTTTACTTGCCCTTCAATTCTAAACGATAGCTTTCCTGGGTGGAACAATCTTGGCTGTAGGTCTCAGCTTTCCATGACTTTGAATATTTCTTGCCAATACCTTCTAGCCTGCAGAGTTTCTTTTTACTTTATATATATTTTTATTTTATTTTTAAGTGTATTTTATTGATTATTGTATTACAGTTGTCCCATTTTTTCTCCTGTTTATTCCCCTACACCCAGCAGCCCCCCTCCCACCAGCATTCCCTCCCCTAGTTCATGTCCATGGGTCATACATATAAGTTCTTTGGGTTCTCCATTTCCTATACTATTCTTACCCTCCCCCTGTCTATTTTGTACCTGACATTTATACTTATTCCCTGTACCTTTCCCCGCACCCTCCTACTCCCCTCTCCCTGCTAATAACCCTCCATGTGATCTCCATTTCTGTGATTCTGTTCCTGTTCTAATTGTTTACTTAGTTAGTGGTTTTTTTTGTTTACTTGTTTTTTAGGTTCAGTTGTTGGTAATTGTGAATTTGTTGTCATTTTAGTGCTCATAGATTTGGTCTTCTTCTTTTTCTTAGATAAGTCCCTGTAACATTTCACATAATAGGGGCTTGATGATGATGAACTCCTTTAACTTGACCTTATCTGGGAAGCACTTTATCTGCCCTGCCATTCTAAATAAAAGCTTTGCTGGATAGAGTATCTTGGATCTAGGTCCTTGCCTTTCATGACTTCAAATACTTCTTTCCAGTCCTTTCTTGCCTGCCATGTTTCTTTTGAGAAATCAGCTGATAGTTTTATAGGCACTCCTTTGTAGGTAACTCTTTCCTTTCCTCTTGCTGCTTTTAGGATTCTTTATTTTTTAATCTTGGGCAACTTGATGATGTGCCTTGCTGTGTTTCTTTTGGGGTCCAACTTCTTTGGGACTCTCTGCGCTTCCTGGACTTCCTGGAAGTCTATTTCCTTCACCAGATTGGGGAAGATTTCCTTCATTATTTGTTCAAATAAGTTTTCAATTTCTTGTGTTGTTCTTCTCCTTCTGGCACCCCTATAATTTGGATGTTGGAATATTTCAGGTTGTCCCAGAGAATCCTCAGCCTCTCTTCATTTTTTTGGACTCTTGGTTCTTCATTCTGTTATGGTTGGATGTTTATTTCTTCCTTTTGTTCCAAATCGTTGTTTTGAGTCCTGGTTTCCTTTCTGTCACTGTTGGTTCCCTGAATAGTTTGCTTTATTTCATTTTGGGTATCTTTCATTTATTTTTTATTTCATTTTTTGACCAGGCTTGATCAATTCTGTGGGCATTTTAATTACCAGGGCTTTAAATTCTCCATCAGATAAGTTGGCTGTCTCCTCATTGCTTAGCTCTCTCTCTCTGTAGCTTTGTTCTGTTCTTTTATTTGGGACATATTTCTTTGTCTTGGCACACCAGTCTGGTTGTTTTAATTGTTCTTTTAATTCCTTGGTTGCCGGAGCTCCTTGCAGTTTGAGCTTGGAGTCAGAGCTCCTGACACTTCTGGTTGTTTACTGATTTTATATTGGTCGTTATCCTCCTTTTGGTTGTGTGAGGAAGTGAAGGGTTTCTACCTACACCTCCATCTTGTCCGGACATTTTTTGCTTCCTTGTGTTCCATATCATTGCTTTGATTCATGGCTTCATCATTCTACCATTGATTCCCCGTAAATTGTTCTTAATTTTCATTAGTATATCCTTCATTTCTGCCTGGATCTTTTTTATGCTGTTGAGGTACTTACTAAGTTCCTTTTGCATCCTTATAACCAATGTTTTAAATCGTGCATTTGATCAGTTGCTCATCTCCATTTTGTTTAGTTCTTTTCTTAAACGTTTTATCTGTTTTTTAATTTGAACCATGTTTCTTTATCTCATTATTGCACCCTCCCTGTATTCGCTTCTATATTGAGTAGAGCTGCTTTGACTCTGTGTCTTGGTAGTGTTGCCTAGTGTAGTAGCTGTCCTGTAAGGTCCAGTGGCACAGCCTAAGTTGGATAGTAAAGGTGGACACTTTGTGTTGGCTGAGCACACCCTACTCTTGTAGTCAAGCCTCAATTGCTGTTGTCAGGTCATTTGGAGGGATTTCGCCAGGCCAGTCAGCTGCAAGGACTGACTATGACCACTGACCACCAACCTCCTTCCTCTATGGAGGACCAGCTGTGCAGAAGTAGGGTGGTGGTGTTCTGATGAGGTCTGTAGCTGTCCACGGGTACACAGGCTCTTGGGTTTCCTGGGTGACACAGCCCAAGGTCAGCTACCACCTGTGTTCTTGCTGGGGCCACCCAGCATGAACTACAAAGCAATGTGCAAATGGGTGCTTTTTGTGCTGCACTTGGAGGTTCCCAGGTGAAGCTAAACTGTGTTCCTAAGCCAGCTGCTTCTAGTGCTGGGCCTGGGGACACTTAGCCTGTGGTATGGGGGCTGGGGGCTCACTGAAGCTGTTTGAGAGGATTGAGGAAGATATGAAGCCTGAGCTGAGACCAGCCATTCATATGTAAAAGCCAGTGCTAACCCCTTGGGTGGGCTGTAAGTTGGGTGGGGCAGAGCCTCAGGGATTCCTCATGGTGGGGGCAAACAGTGTTAGCTGGGTTGATGGAGTGTTAGATATGGCCCCTGCCTGCCAGCTCTGTGGTTCTGTGTAGGGATGGCTCAGAAAAGGG